TAGAGTACCTTTTTCGAAAATTGCTAACGTTTACAACTGCTAGCAGACACATTCAGTCTTATCAAGAAATTCAGTAACCTATCAGTAACCACTCCATTAGAACGTTTTGTTATTATACATTTTATATTTGGTATTATTGTTAACACATATAATAGAAAATCAGCAAAAAAAATTATATTAATATTAACAAAACTAATTATTTATTTAAAATAATAATACAAACCAAATTAATATATTTCTTTTTTTAATTTTGTGCCATATGTTTGTTATACTTTGACCAATAGGATTCAGCCGTCGTATTCAATATAAAACATCCTTTAAACAGTCGGTAAACTATGCGTTTTCATTTAAAATTTCAAAGTTGTAGTGGCTCTGATAATAAATATATTTCAAAAACTAATAAAAATTTAAAACTGGACTAAAACATATAATAAATATGTTTTTTTTTCTGTACAAGAGAAATTCAGCCGGGCAATCTGACCAAGACCCTGTATATTGTATGCTATATACATATTAAAAATTTCAAGGCGAAGTCAAAAAATTAATTCAAATTAGATCAACATATATCACTTTAAAACGTACTAACCAAAATTTAGTTATCGGATTAAAATTTATAAAACGAAAAAACATTTAGTTTAAAGCTTTATTTATTTATATATCTAATATCCCGTAATTAGTAATTTTAGTATAGAGAAAGTTTTACGCTTAGAAAAGATGAAGTGACGCAAAATTAAGCATAATGACTCCAATGAAAGAACAATAAAATTTAGGAAAAATAAGCTTGCTTGGAATAACGATTAAGGCTAAAAAACGTTAAAACAATGGGAAAAGCCTCGTTGAAATTGTGATTTTTTGTACATGTAAAAATTGTACATTTCAGTAGTTTTTGGATGGTTCGTTCCTTCCGACGAAAATGTTTGATTAAAATTTACCGTTTGGCAACTTGCAGGTATGAAAGATTGGAAAAAGCACGTAAGGAATAGAAGGTAAAGAAAAATGTTAGAAATCCACGAGATGAAAGTTAGTAGTCACAAAGGTTCTTTTTTCCAATAGGGGTTAGAAAACTGGAACAGCGCAAGAAATAGAACAAGTCATGACAATTTCTTTAATATTACAAGCGAAAATTGTTTTCGTGCAAGTACACTTTTCTTCGAGACAAAAGTTTATATGCGGTTCTTTTAGCTTTCTCCAATTTTTAAGACGACATTATTTTATGGAAACGTAAGCATTGATGTCAATGTATAAACTTAGTTTACTAAATTCAACGGACACCGCTGTTAGTACATGGTGGAGTAGTTTTACTTTCAAAACTTTACTTTAAATACATTTGCTGATACTTAAATTGGATGTAGAAAAATTTGGTTATTTATATAGAAGGAGGTTGTAATACTTCGTACATCACAGTTATATCTGTGTTAAAAACTAGCAAAAGGTTTTTCTACACTGATCTTGATGTATCGTATAATTTGATGATTTGAATCAGTATGTGGTTCAAAATGATGGAAATGAATTTTTTAATCATCGCTGGTCGATAATTCTCTATGTTATATCGCATAATTTGTTAGAATGGATCTAGGTACGGCGTGTAAACCATATTTGAACCATGATATGGTATTTAATGAGCGCGGTGTTAGATGTTTTGGAGATTTCCCTGATTGTAACTTTTCCCTTGATGAGGATGGATTTGGCGAGCGTGGTATTGCTCAAAGCGATCATTTACTCGGCTCGATAAAGAAAATCCTCGAAAAACGGCTCGAAGGGCTTTGATGAAAACGTTTCAATATGTTGACCAAAAAAATGCACTAGTTAAAGTACCGAAGTTTGTATAGTCGGGTTCAAAATGATCGGAATAAAATTGTTACTATTTTCACAACAACCCCTGTATCTTGTAATGTGAATTACTCCCTTGTATTCGATACGGGTTTGTTCGAAAATGGGAACTATCTGACAGAGACCCGGCTGTCCATAAGAAAACAATATTTTTAATGTTACCTTCTCGACATTTAAATTATTACTCAGCAATTGGATTTTATATTCAAATTTCGGGCTTGAAAATTTATTATCCCTTTAATTTGGAAAGGCCTCACAAACTCCAGAACGTCGAACGCCTAAAGTTAGGCCCTTGGGAAACGCCTCGTCACTTTCACAACAAGTAAAGTTGATGATCAAAGTTCCCAGGAAGGCTGGCTGGAAGACCTGCAATATTTTTTACCCATGGAAATCTGCAATACAATTAAGGTTAAAAAAATAATGGTCAATAAAAAAAATTCCAAAACAAATATATGTTTCTTTTTACATACAGTTTTATTAAATGTTTGTAATGTTGTAAAAAGAAAAGAAAAATTTGTATAAATAATATAAATATTTTTCAATTTTTCAATTTATTTTTTTTAAGCTTTCAATTTAGCTATCTAGAATTTATAATTCACCACTAATTTGCTTTTGTGTCAATAATTGCCTAAAGCACATCTTATAACTGTAACGATAAATTTTTTGAGAGATACAATTTTCAATATAGATAAGATAAATGATACATAGTTATATGTTTATGGTTATTTCAATTATTTTCAAAAGGTAAATAATTTGCAGTAAATTTTATTTTCTAGAATTTTAAATTTATTTAACCTTCTCTTCTGTAACATTTTATTTACTTTGGCTTCTAATTATGATGGTCTATATTAATTTTTGTGAAATTACAATATTATATCTGGAATTGAATTTCGTTTAAGATTCAAAAAATTCACAAACAAGCTTATAACTGTAATGATAAATTGTTTTGAAAGATAAAGTTTTCAATATACAGATAAATGATTCATAGTTATATGTTTATGATTATTTCAACTATTTTACAAAGAAAAATAATCTAGAGTAAATTTTGTTTCTAGAATTTTAAATTTATGTAACCTACTCTTCAGTAATATTTGATTTACGTTGCCCTCTAATTATAATGGTTTATATTCATTTTTGAGAAATTACAATATTATATTTGTAATTGATTTTGGTTTGAGATTTAAAAACCTTCACAAACAACAAATTTTTAAAACAATTTTTGTATGCTTATTTGCAAAGTAAGTGTAAAACAAGCGGAAATAAAGGTACTATATTCATTATTAGCACAGTAATTCTTACTAAATTTTGAAAAAGAAACTGCTTCTTTTTTCAGGATAACTCCTACTAAAAACGTTTACAAATCAAATTTAAAGTTTGTTATTATGTATGGATTGAAATTTATTAGATAGGGTTAGATTTAGCGGTAAATTAGTATAGAAAGGTTAGGGATTGTTATGGTTAGGGTGCGGCTACGGTTAGGTTAGGATAGTTAAGTTTAGGGGTACGGTTATGGGCGTTAGGTAAGATATGGATAGAGTTAGGATGCGGATTCAGTTTTCGATGGGCTAGGTTACATAATGTTAGGGTTAGGATCCGGGCACGGATCAGGTTAGAATAGTTAACGCCATTGTAAAGATTACTGGCAAGTTAAATTAGGGTTAAGGTATAGTCTATGTTTCTCAGTGAATTCATTTCATATGTTTGAAAATATACGATTTTTTTATTGCTCCTATTTTTATTTAAAAAACAAAAACATTGTTTTAAGGTTAAAAACTTTGCTAGTCATTTAAAATTATGAAAAATTATTAATGCTTTTTTAATACTTTTGTATTTCTTGAAAATTGGTCAGACTGTATATTGTTGTTTCAAAATCTTTTTTGCGTACAGACGTATCTTGGTACGTATTTAAGCATATAAGGGTAAAGTAATTTACTTGTTATTATTGATAAGGTATAAAAGTAAACAGAAATGAATTGGATAACTACATTCTAATAGTACGGACTCTTAAGGTGGCTATTTCCTTGGAAATAATTGCTGTATTATATAATTAATAATTCAAAATTTTTTATTGTAGTACATATTAGTACTATAATTAATTATGGGGTGACAAACATCCAGTAATCATTGCCGATCCATAAAACAGAAAAAAATATAATTATGCGCATCTTTCTAACATTATTATAAATATTAATTTTAAATGAAAAACGTACTTTCATATTTTTTTTACTTCACCCCCTATAGCTACATGTATCAGTGGTAAAAGTGATCGCAAAAGCTTTCGTTGGATTATGTCAAGTCGTGTCATGTCTCTGACCGGATTGAACATTGTTTATTTGTAAGAGAATTTATTATGAATAAACTATCTATGAATAAGTGTTTTTACTTACATAAACTTCTCCAATATGTATTATTATTCAGAGATCGTGATATGCGGTCTGATGTGATGTAGGTTTCAGAAAAACATTTTCTTTATCGTGCCAACGTTTCAATCTTTATTTAGATCATCTTCAGATTTACAAACATTGTTTAAATTTAACAAATACATGTAGGAAGTGGAAAAAAAGTGAATTTATACATTGCAAAATATATTTTTTATATTCACTCAAAGTGTTTGTTTACAGCGTAATTGTGCCATTCTTGTGTGACGTGTTGAGAGTGCCAATGAGATATTGATGTTTTATGTTTATATACGATGGGCATTGATAGGGTGGAGAAGGAACGGGAATAGAAAGACATTTTTATATGAGGAGTCGGCTTCTTAGAGGTGAAAGGAATCGACGATGGGAAAAACGTTGGTAATGGTTCGGCCAGATTATCCTTTCAGGATGATTGTTTTATATGTTGTTTTATATATACTGTGTGATGTGATGATATAAGTATGTTATCGTTATGTTTTTAAACATCCTACATGTATTTGTTAAATTTAAACAATTTTTGTAAATCCCAGGCCCTGAAGATGATTTCTATAAAGGTCGAAACGTTGGCACAATAAAGAAAATGTTTTTCTAAAACCTACGTCTCACCAGACCGCATCTCACGATCTCCGAATAATCATCGATTATCGGTCACTAATCACCACACAAATATGTATTATATTTGTATATACGATATTTTGAAAGGTTACATAATTTTCAGTCGTAATTCTTAAATAAAATTTTATCGTATTTTATAGTTACATATAAATATATTTGGAAACCATTTTAATAATAATGTATTTGTGACTAATTGGAACTTATTATGTCATTAGTTTTGATTCATCAGTGTAATCCGATTAATGTTTTGAAAGCAATCGTATTTTTATATTCCACAATCAGCTTTTTTGTACCCGAAAACCCTTTAATTCAGCCGCGATTAGGTTTTTTCTTCGTTGTCGTTTTTGGCTTAATTGTTGTTGTTGTCGTCGTCGTCGATGTTTTGTTGCTGGATTCGAATCCTATCGTAAGCACGAGGTCTTCGAGTTCGATGCTGCTGCTCTCTTCTGCAAACATTCAACAGGTTTAATCAAAGCGTTCCAGTTTTCATTAAATCGGTTTTCATCCTCGCCTTACCTGAAGAGAATTCGAATTCCACGAAAGGCGACAGCAACTGGAGAACCAATTGGGCCGAAGGGTCGAAACCAACTTTGTGAGGTTTAGGCCGGTCGCTCTCACTGGATTGATCCGACGATAATCCATCCAAGTGTAACTTAGCAGACAATTACTTAACAGTTATCAACTAAGTTGTTCATTAATTTTCTAAATAAAGTACATGCATAAAACATGAATTTAATAGGAAAAATGTAAAGAGTAAAAAGTAAAATGTAATAAAAAATTCATTCCGAGTGCAAGGTGGGTCGTCGATGACCGATTCATTGTTGTCAATTTTATTTCGTATTGCAAAACATTTTGAATACAAATGAAAATTAATAAGGAAAATTCAAGTAAATAAAAATAAATAAATTGTTTACAGTGGTAATGGGAGTTTTTATCTATATTACATTTTTGCACGATGTTGAGGTTATTTGCACGTTTCCAGGTTTTTACTGCACGAAAATCTGGTCTTTAATGATTAGAGATGAACACATATTTTAATTACTCCATCCATCTACACTCGCTAGTTTTGTATTTGTGAATTTACAGTTCCTCACTGAAGATGAATCATAGCAAAACTCGTTTAAGTAACAACCAAAACCTAGGAGTGCAGATCGACCAGGTAAGACATTCAGGCCGGTTCAACGATAAACGTGTCAGGGCTGACGACAGAATATTGAGTACCCCTTCGACCCTGAGTTAGGTTAGTTATATAACAGGTGGTATATAAAGAGTGATGGAGGAATACAGAGTTCTCCACCACCATAACTGAGTGGATGGTAATGATAGCACATGGAGCCAGGTAAGACCGTCCAGGTGGCATATGAGACCGGAGCCGAGCGTTGTCTTGTAAAAGAATCGGCCTTTTTCGATTGACCAAACATGGTTTTAATAATGCCAAATTCTGGGTCACTGGTCAATTTGAGAAAAAATCATGTTGACATTGATTGTTTTGCCAGGATTCAAGGAGCTGTAGTAAATCAGCCCAAAAGAAGCCAACCAAAGAGTCACCATCACATTTTTTTTGGTGAGTAGGGAAACTTTGGAAAATGTGGTGCTGCTTCTTTTCTCTCTGTCGAGCCACTGACCAGAACGTCTGCTGTTATCGTAGGGAATCCACTTTCCATAACAAGTAACCATTCTATCCAGAAAAGGTTCTTACTGTTTGATCAAAGAAGTATTGCGCAAACTTCATAACTTTTATTTAGAAATCGTGAGATGCGGTCTGGTGTGATGTAGGTTTCAGAAAAACATTTTTATCGTGCCAACGTTTCGATCATTATTGAGATCATCTTCAGGGCTCAAAGTGTTTGTCTTCTGTGTAATTGTGCCATTCTTGCATGTCGTGTTGAGAGTTCATTAATTCATACACAGCTAAAAGGATTTAAACTACAAATAGTCCCTGTGGAAACACGAGGTTATTACAATAAAAACTATATTAAAAAAAACATAAATAGACCATTTGAAAGAAGAGGAATGTAGGTTTCTGACGACGTATAATTATTTAAGAAAATTCACAAAATTTCAAATTTTTTGTCAGAAATTAACCCTTTTTTTTTAACAAAACCATAGTCCAATTTTAATGTTTCACACTGTTATAAAATGCACGTGATAATTAACCATCAAAATCGACGCACTAATTTTTTTGAAAAATGATGTTAGAACTTGCACTAGGAATGTCAGTTAGGCATAAGGTCATCCAAATTATCAATTAAAATATAAATTTACATCAATTGAGAAATCTTTGAGTTTTATAAATTTATTACAGTTTTTTAAATGGTTTATGTTTAATATTTTTATTGCAATCCATATAAAAAATACTCTAAAATGATCTATTCACATAGTTGATTTGACCAAGTAGAACGGTAAAATAAAAATATTAAATAACTATATCTCACTGGTACTCACAACACGACAGACAAGAATAACACATCTACACGGAAAACAAACACTTTGAGCCCTGAAGATGATCTCAATAAAGATCGAAACGTTGGCACGATAAAGAAAATGTTTTACTAAAACCTACGTCACACCAGACCACATCTCACGATCTCCAAATAATCATCTCCCCAAATTTTAATCAACCGGTTATTTTTACATACAAATTTTGTAAACCGGTTTGTGCAACATCTTCGCACTTTACATTTTTCTTTTTGACGCCAGTGAATCAATTAAATTATTCAACCACAGTAACTAAATAGATTACAAATTCTTTAACTTTCAATTTCGAAATCGAAAAAAATATTACTGATAGCTCGTTATAATCTTAAAAGTTAACCATTTTTTTAATCAATTTTATAAGTTATAATGAAAATATTAAAAACTATTCTATTGATGTATAATATCAAACTTGGTAAAAATAATTTACATTTAATGTTTCTCTAATAAGATTATTAGGCTTTAATAATATAAAACTATTCTTGCTTTTTGAGGTAATTTTGATAAGAAGGCAATAATCTGATTCATAGACGGAATACATGACCTCTTACTTTAATTAATTTTAACTTAATTAATTTTTTAAGATTATTGTCTCGCTTGAGGAACTCAAGTATCGAGACGTCTAAGTCGACTATCTCCCAAAATTTTAGTTAAATTAATATCTGTAATAAATCTTTAAAATTATCTTCTTCCATCATTTAGAATATATTTGAAGTGTAAATTCTGAAAGTCAATTTTTGTTTTTTGGANAGAAAACAAACACTTTGAGCCCTGAAGATGATCTCAATAAAGATCGAAACGTTGGCACGATAAAGAAAATGTTTTTCTGAAACCTACATCACACCACACCGCATCTCACGATTTCTAAATAAATATCGATTAACTGTCACTAATCACCACACAAACTTCATAACGATGATGTTTTTGTCTGTATAATGCACGAGGAATCCAACTTTCGAGCATTTTCACCTTTCCTATTGTCTTGAGGTGGTTAGCGACGATCGATTTGCTAACTGAAAGAATCTAAGCAGATTCTCGATCAGTTGTTGTGGTATTTTCTTCGACCAAAACTCGCAGAACATCATCATCTAGAAGAAATCCTTCCACGATCTTCTGTGCCGTCAAATCAAAAGTCTCCCTCACGAAATTTTTTAAACTATCTCTGAACGGTGCTCACACCAGACTAACTTAATGTTTCTGGCAGTTTGTGCACTATTGCGATCGAGTTGACACTCGTAAAACGAAATGACGCGAAAATCATGCGTTGAAATTTTACAATAGTAAAGGCTGAATTATTCCCAAGTAAGGAAATTGTACTGAGGTAAACATTTTTGTTTGGAAGAAGATTAAAAAGTATTGACATTCGTGCAAAATATTGATCTATCAAACGTAAACAGTTTATTACATAGAGGGGTAATTGGAAATAATATGAAAAAACTGCAGAATTTTCCAGAGAACCCAATAAAAGGAAAACACTCATCAAGAATAATTTTGTTAATTAATTGTGATGTACTTAAAATAATATTTTTTTAAAATTGAATTAATGTGTGGTGATTAGTGACCGTTAATCGATATTTATTTTGAAATCGTGAGATGCGGTCTGGTGTGACGTAGGTTTCAGAAAAACATTTTCTTTTTGTGCCAACGTTTCGATCTTTATTGAGATCATCTTCACGGCCTGGGATTTACAAACATTGTTTACGTTTAAAAAATACATTTAGGATGTGGTAAAGTGAATTTATACAATGCAAAATATTTTTTATATATTCAATCAAAATGTTTCTACTCACTCAAAGTGTTTGTTTGTCTTCTGTGTAATTGTGCCATTCTTGCGTGTCGTGTCGAGAGTGCCAGTGATATTTTGCTATTTTGTGTTTATATACGTTGGATTTTGAAGGGGTGGAGAAGGATGTCGGTATAGAAAAGACATTTTTATTCGAAATTAATTAATTACCGTTTCGAAATATTAATTGTTGTTTAATTGCAATTGTTATTTAGTTTGCTTGTGATTGTTACCGATCATTTTAAACCCTCTAATCTCGTTTTTTTGTCGTTCATGCGCGTATTGGTATCTCGCCATCTTCATAAAAAGAAAACAGAATATAAAGGAATTTAAAAAAACCTACGAAAAATCAAACTACAAAACTATCCCAAACCCTAAGCTTGAAATTACATAATCAACATATTCAACCCGAAGAAATCCATGGATACATTAAAACTATCAGTTTTTACACATCTCTTATACCATATAAGGAAATTTAATTTTTTTAAACGAAATACCGACAAGCGCAAGGATGAGCGGAACAATAAAAAACCGACGTTAATTTACCCGAACTCTTTTCAATTGTCACAAACGTATAAAAGAAGCGCGGCTAAATAAATTACGCAGAACCACTGAAGATGGCGAGAATGGAAAAAACCGTCCGACCGCTAGGATCAAAAGAAGACAAACGTTCATGGTCACTCGGCAGACACAATTGGAAATTTCAAAATTCAAATTTGGAGTAATCAGTGTTTTTTACAATGCGTTCATATTTTGTCAGGTAGTAATGTCTTTTGTTTAAATAATTATATTTGAATTCTATCAGTTCATCGTTAAATAACCGAAATTTCACTTGAGGTTGAAGGTGTCATAGTACATAATGTAAATTACCACAAAGTGTACTTGGTAACGCTTCGGTTATGGACCTCTAATAGAAATATAATTCTCAAAAGGGAGAAGCAACCCAATCTTCAATGCTTGATGGATAGGAAACTAGAATCTAAACGCCCACTGGCTTTCAATAACAGTCCAAGCGGTCTGAAACAGGTTGTGAGTGGTGGGTTTGTTATTATTATTTTAACAAGGTCAACAGATAGCTCACAAACATGTAAAACTTTCTAGATATTTTTTTGGCTATTAAAACGTTCAATGACTTAGACAAAAATTAGCAGCTTGGCCAATGACAGAAATTACAGTAATTAGATATAAAATCTTTTAAAATTTCATTTCAGCTTTCAGCGAATAAAAATTGTTGCAAATGACGTTGTGTAGGAAAATTATAAGCAATTATCTTTCTTCTTTTTTGAAATTTAAATGCTGGAAATGTTATTGTTGATCTAGTTGCCCTTCAGAGCAACATCTATGGCAAATTAACGATTCAAGCAGACTCTTTAATACTTAACTATTTACATTAA